TGTTGATGGGTTGCGGACGTCATATGGGTGACGAGAAAAGGACATAAGAAGGTTTGTTTACAAAAAACTCGCATGCCCTTTTCACATGTTGTTCTTGAATTGATGTTCACGGCTGTTAGTTAAGGTCATGGAAGGTCTGAGAGATTTTTAAAAGTTTCAGAATGTATGAGGTTTCAAATAATCAAATACGATCTGGGAACTACAGAAACGATCTGAAAATTTAAGAAACCTTCGGGAGATTTACATCAAACAGTGCGACCTTAAAACATTAAAGCAGTCTCCTTATGATTGCAGTTTTTCCAAAACTCCCACCATAATGAGTCGAAAGCTTGAAGATAGGTTTCAATGGAATTTCTAGGAGAATTTATGAGAATTGATGGAATTTCAAAGAATCTCCTGGAGTATGCTTCCACAGTGTAGAATGTATGACTATTATTCCAGAGAGATTCTGAAGAATGTTTCAAGTAAATTTCGAGAATAATTCCAAGGAAATCAATTGAATATATTTGATGAAAATGGGAAAAGAAACTATCCACTATCAAAGAGACCTCTCTCGAATGGATGATATAAATTTGCTTAGTCATTTGACCAACGCATAGATCATTTTCATTTTAGAAACGCTTGATGCCATTCAATTGAGTCTAACCTCCACACAAACGGAGCTCTGGTCGACATTCCGGCGAAAAAGCTGAACCAACTTGACAGCAACTGGACTTCTACCAGACATGAGAAAATACGATACGCAGAATTGATTGAATGGTTGTACTGGATTGTCTTCAATTGAATGATATGAAAATTAGCAGCACTGCTAAGAAGGAGAGGAAATTCCAAGAGATTCCTCTCAAAGGCATTTTGCGGAGAATTTCGAGAGAATATTCACATGATTAATTCCAAGAAAATTTTGGGAAAATACTTGGGAAACTTGACCAATTGTAGGATATTATTCTAGTCGAGTACACAATAAAGTCACATTTGAAATTGTTCTAACAATCCCAAAAATTAAAGGTTATTGTTAAAAAACCGATTTTGGGTAAGTGACGGTCTACTATCATGAGTTACTCAATCACTTTTCAACCGGTTGAGTTTTAAACAGTTTTGGAAAGCAAAACGTCAGACCTTTCGAAATATACGCACATTTATGGTGATGCTACTGAAATTCGTTGAGATTTGTCTAATTAAATATGATTTTTATACAAATAAATCGCATTTTTGCCATTAAGGTGACCAAAACATGAACCCCCTGTCGCCATAATATCATATTTTATTTAAAACAATCTCAACGCACTACCATAAATGTGTAAGTATTTCAAAAGCTCTAGCTTTGCGTTCCAAAACTGTTTAAAAATCGAAAATTGCGTGAGTTACTCTTGATAGTATGTGATCACTAACCCCTAATTTGTTTAACAATAACTTTTAATTTTGGAGGTGTTCGAACGATTTCAAATGTGATTTCATGGTGTACTCGACCAGACTAATAGCCTACACAATGACAAATAACCTACAATGTGTAAAAATGTTTGAGATCTTGGATATGAAAAAAATCATGGACAGGTGGATGTAGTAAAATAAGACATAAAGAAATTTCTAGATTCTGTGACATGAAAGATTTCAAGGTATTGAAACTAACAAAGTATTTAATTCAAAATGACGGACATTAGATATTCAGTAACGTTTGAAATTCCGAAATTTTCAAAAAATCAAGTGTCTTAGGCTTAGAAATGGTTTGGGATTCTCATTGAAACCATTTAGAAATATTGTCAATTTTCGAAACTCTTGCTCATGTTTTGACAAATCAGATGGATGGAATGTCGTACCAAGAGAAAGTTAAGAATTTCGAGTTTGAAGAAACATTCAAGATTCTAAAAGCCGATTCCTTAACCTGCACTTAAATTTTTAATAAGATTTACCTGGTTTAAGCCTTAAGTGAAGGTGCAGAAATCGGCCCTAAGAAAATCTGACTTAGAATTTGTATTAACAGAATACCGTAAAGTACCATAATTTCAAGCAGTTTTGAAAAATAATGTGTAATGTAGATAGGTATTTTAAATAAGTGTATGAGAAAAATATTAACTTAGAAAATATCATAGTAGTATTGTAGTCATGGGTTGAAACAGTTGACATTTTTTACAACACTCGCTTCGTTGTCGTGCTCATACTCTACCGTCGTCTCTCTCACAAAACACAAACGGTAGAATAACATTCGAGCAAAAAGAAAATTATCAAATAACTATCATATGACATGTGTGATTTCGTTCTAATTTCTCTACACCAATTAAACTATTTATGATCAAAAATGTTATTACTAGGACAACGTTGCTTATTATTTTCAGAATTCAAGCACAACATCAGCAGCTCTTATTATGAAAAAAACTAAAATACATACATTCGTGACGGTCTTCGGCGGCAGTGTCGTATGACAGAGCCTGTCATATGACATTTTAGTTTGGTACTGTACTATGATAGCTTGTTTTGCAAATGTCGGAGGCAAAGGCAGTCGATTATCACAGAAAATGTGTCGACTACCGTGGCCAAAAATTAGCGGAGTTAGGCACGCGTGAAATTATGGTACGTTTGGTACCTTATAAGGTTTAGATCGATGATTTTTTTATGTAGTACACCTCATATATGTTGTAATTTCGAGTGGTGGTACAACAACGGTGAACTAACGATTGTCAACTTGCCTACCAGTTCACAAATGCATGGATCAAAAGTACCTAATTTTCACTTGAGATGAACTAGCCTACGATTAGAAATTTCATTAACAAAACGTTAACATTAACAAAAGATTTATCAGTTTTCCTATCGAGAACATATTTTTCCCATAAAAACAATATTTTCTCTCCATTTTTGTCTCAGACGTCATTTCGATCAGAAGTGACGTTTTCGTGCTACAAATTATTGGAAAATAATATAGACGCTATTTTGAAAAAAGTACAACTTTAAAATGACTGAATTTCCGGGAAAATGTGAATGATTGCCAATAACACACAATTATGCAAAGTTTTATGCAAATCGGAAACGCTCGAGTTTTTCCGATGCGTCATTTGGCGTTGAACTCCAAAGCTATAGGAGAAAGTGGGCAGTTTGGCCACGTTAAGAAAATCATCACTAATGGATACAAAATTCAGTGGAAAATTCGAATGATGTAAATACAAATAAATTGAATGTTAAAGGTAAACTTTTGAATGTCATGAAAGAAGATTTAAAAAATGTTCTTTTTGTAACCGAAATAAAACCGTTGGGGTAAAATGAGCACCCTATCGGGATGGTATGAGTAACCTTGTATACATCCGGTTCTCTTGAAAATTTATGACGGGTCAACAATGAACAGTTTTTGCATAAAAATATTTAAAAGAAACAATTAGGTATTTTCTGTACAATAAATAAAATTTAAGAAGTACTGCTTATTTTGGGCTATATTTTTTTCAGTCTTGTTAATGACTGATGTTCTTACCAAAGCAGCTGCTTCAAAACGTGATTTCGTGTGATACAGTTACATTTATAAAAGGAATAATGCAAAATTGAAGTTTAAATATCAGTGCTGCTCATATTGCCCCGAATAGACTTAAGAAAATATTTAATGTTTATTCAAAACTATTAATATACTAAGGATTATTAACGAAAAGTTATAAGAAACTACTGATAGACCTTATTTGCTGATTTAGAAATCTTATAACATTTTTGACAATTTGAGCTAGTCTAACATTGTTCGAATATTTTAACTAGAGAAAGTATTTTTTTGGGTAAAATGAAATGGATAATTCGAGTAGGATTCAAGTATTAAACTTGCAACAGAAAAAGAGAGATGAGAAAAATCTTCAATAAGTTGACCCCATTGGTCGTATTGCCCCACTTTCCCCTAATTTAGCATATCTACCTTAGATAATTTGCTTTAATTATAGCACCGTCATTTGACCAACTAAATTTTTTGAAATTTAGCATAAAATGCATAAACAAAATAGGTAAAAATTAATTGGGACGGTTAGACCATAAAAAAAAGTCCAACAACCATGAAGGGTACACTGTAAGATACCATCTGCTCAACGGCAGTTGTTTCAAAGGGTGTCCTATAGAATCGTGATCTTATTTCCCCTAGCAAGGGGAGTTGTACAGATGCGAGACTACGCGAAAGGTGTCTTTTTCGAGCGAAACATGGCAGCTGTCCCTCGTGTGTCTCACCCCCTCATCCACGAACGACTTTTCCGTCTACTTGTTTGCGTACTGTTGCAGCACAAATTTATAAACGGAAATCGTGGGTGGAATAGCAAAGGTCCAGCATAGTTTAGTCCTACGCACACTACACGTAGGCAGCAGACTAACTTTCAAAGGAATGGAATATCACGTCCAACTTTTAGCACGGCAAATGCTGCTTCATACGAAAATGACTAATAAGTTTTGTGATGTTTTAAGAGCCACTTCACATGAAGCACACTTCGGAAGAACCCTCACATTCACAATCTTGAGTGATCAATGGTATAATTGTAATGTAAAATTAAAATCTGGCAACGTAGCATCTAGCATCCCACCATTATACACTGTCAATGCGCCTTCAACTCGTGGAAATTTTCGCAACATGTACAGCTTTTCTACATGCTCAACTAGCAGGTCTGCGAGTCTACGTCAAAAGTTTGCTTACATGTTGGCATGACACAAACCGAAACAAAAAAAAGGTGGATGATAGTCTCCCACATTTTGTTTCACCTACCACTTCGAACGTTCACAAAAGCTAAATCTACGAGGTGGATACTAATACACGACCACAGGGATGGATGCCTACACACTATGCAAGATGAAGTTTTTTTTATTGTACTTTAACAACCTGTGCTGAGCCAGCCATCCAATGTAATGATAAAGAGGAAATAGGTAAAAGCAAAAACAAAAAAACAACACAGCACTACCAAAAAAACAGAAAAAGAGTGTCTAATAATTTGGAAGGAAAATAAGAGCCAGAGAAAGCAGAATCGTAAGGAACAACTGTGCTATGATCAATAAATACTTACATATGAGCAGCCTGTGATTGAGACGACCGTACCAGCGGCGGTGGGACTGCTTGATTCTGGGAAGACCTCGACGACATCGACATCGTCGGATTCATGTAGGAATTGTATTGCATGGGATGCATGTTTTGCATACTTCGGATTTGCGCCTGTGCTTGGGCAGCCTGCAAGAGTAGAGGAAGAAAAGTTGTAGTTAGTAATTTTCCACAATTGTAGACACAATTAAACTACAAAAATTAATAACACCTATGTGACTCGAATGATGCAAAGAACGGTTTATAAAGGGAAAATGACGGTTGTGACGGTTTCTGTAGGGTAAATAACCACTGTGGCTGTTTTCGGCCACCAAAACAAATAAATCTATTTACTGGATGTTACACCCTAACACTTAGCTGAATGCAGGTACACGATTTCTACGTGGTTTCTTCAACCTTATTCGCTTTTTACGATGGAGATGTGCATTTTACCAACTTTGTCTTGGTATGAACCATACGAACCATAAAAAAATGCTGATGATTTCCGGTTGACGATAATTCAACAGCTGCCTGAAACGCAATTTAAATGAAAAGGATGCCGCATAGAAACAGGTTGCCGCAATACTCTACAAACATGTGAAAAGGGCCAAAACTGAACTGAACTTCACGAATCGCGACACATCCACTCAAATTAACTAAGGTAAAATGGAGTCGAGTTGATCAGGGACTTAAAAATATTGACCCCTCCTCCCCCTTTTTGTTATGTTTTTCCTATACCTTATCTATTGCTGCCACAAAATCTTACACCCTTAGAACGTGACATAATATATGCATCACACAGTGGGGTGTACTGAAGCTAAATAGGTATCTTTAAATGACAAAATTGCGCTAAAAAAAGGCAAAATGGTAAAACCTAGCTTAAAATTTTAACCTTTAACTTAATAATAACGAAACACCAAAATGAGCTAGAAACGCAAAAAATAGCCTACCTCTTAAAATTTTTATTGCAAGTGAGCGGAAGCAACCCACAGAATATTTTTAAATCAGAAATCTGCTTAAACTTAACACATTAAAAAATAAAAAGCAATTACTAATCGATCGGAACTTGATTCATCAAAATCTGATAACCATTGAAATGGAAACAATTTACCGGTTTTTTTGTTCGGGGCCATATATAAACGGCCAAAGAGATTAACTTAAAATTGAGTCGATTTGACACAACATTGAAAAAAGTGGGGTCACTCAGTAAATGAATAAAATGTTCATCGATTTTCCAGGAGAAACTCCTTGAATATGGGAAAAATCGAGAGATATTTCTCTCAGTCTATTAGTATACTGCCTATAATCGCATATCAGTCCCGTATGGAAAAAGTAGGCATTGAGAAAATGACAACAGAAGTTAAGAAGTGCGATTTCCATGTAAATATTTGAAAAATCATCGTAAATTTATTATTATTATTTTAAATTAAAATCAGTTGTTGCATCTGCGAAAAATATGGTAGGTACCTAACTTAAGAAGCAGAACTATAAGTTGACCTCTGGACGTTTGAATTTCAGAATGGGGCTGATATGCGATTACTTTTTTTTGATGGGACAAACTGACTTGTTATTTCACACTTATCATGAGCAGAGTCCGTAGTTTTATTTATCAGATAATATAAAAGTAGATGCCAATTGATAGTGGATAGCGTTGCTATCTCAAAATTGACGAACATCCATATTGGATAGATATGCGTTCATAGGCAGTCATACAGTCATATACAGTCTCATACGCGCCCGTCGAAAGTAACGCAGAGACTGAGTCAAGTTGACTCTCTCTCTTTTTTTCCCATACAAATTTTACCCCCCTTTCGTAAAAAGTGGAGCTTCTCAGTGCTATGAGTGTAACACTCTGGAAAATCTTCACGTCCGATTTACGTGAGAAGATAGGTGGTTTTCATCCACCCTATTTTTCACGTAACTTTTACCGGAATTGCATGTAGCCGAGAAAAATTCAGCTTTTATTATCTACGTGATTAGTCAGGTAAATAAGACGTGATTTTCACGTACTCCTTATGAACTTGGAGTGAAAACTACTGGAAAACTTGTAACTTTTACGTGATATCCTGTTTTGTTAAAAGTGCTTTTATGTAATTTGTTCGTGAATTTTGAATAAGATATAAATAACAATTCCACATGCTTTAATTGATACTTATATCTACTCATAAAATTGCATTGACTGCTTGGTTATTATAAGGTAGAAATGTTTATAAGTGTTTTATTTCTGACAAAATATTAACAAACAGAAAAAGGTACAGTTAGCTACACATAATCATAAATAAATTAATGCAAAAGAATGAAGTTACTGTCCAATATTTGCAACAAGCTGCTGGGAAGTTTTAAATATTTTAGGAGTTCTTCCACCACGCTCTGTGCACCATATAGAATTTTTTTCCATACCTTGAAAATCACGTAAATCTTGTTTCGCGGATATTTCCAAGTCCCAAATATACTAAATCTGTTTACGTGAATAAACGGTCGATTTTTAGTGAACATGACGTGTAATGTAGGTCGAATTTACTAAAGTCAGGTAACATTTGAGATTTTCAAAATACAGTTCAATTACGTGATATTTCACGTAAATCGGACGTGGCATTTTTTTAGAGTGAACTCCACTTTTTACGAAACTGCACTGAAAACGAAATTTCTAAAAGCGTAGGTCACTCAGCGCATGAATAACCTGCGCTTTTATGAATCTATCCATACGAATGAGTAAAAGTGACTTACTCAAGAGTCGTTTTCAGTGTGAGTAAAATGTGTATGGCGAAAAAAAGAGAGTGAGTCAACATGATTCAGTCTCTGAGTTACTTTCGACGGACGTGTATTCAAGCAGGTTTTCCCGAAAAAATGTAGAAACTTTTACTCATTCGCTTACCGTATGCTTTAAGCTTTAAACCGAATGCGATCGAATCAAAGGGACTATTAGGTTAAATGTGTCATTACTGAGACAGCCGAAATTTTCATGGATCTTTAATTTGGACAAAAATAAAATAGCAGTATTTTGATTTTGTCGAGACTGAAAAGCCATTCACAACACACATACACATCAATAACTTCAAAATAAGTGTTTGTTTTTATTTTAACTACCTTGAAAATTCGTTCAAAACTCTCTACAGGATATCTTTGGAATGTTCTAAAGAACTTCCTTTAAAAGCATTTTCCTTCGAAGCTTTTTTAGAAGTCCTCCTCCTAAACTTGATTTTTTTTATAACAGTCCAGAAATTCCCTGCAGAACACCCCAAAAAATATAATAGAACTTTGTCTCTTTCAATTTTTAATGATTCGGCATAATTCTATTTACTTGCTAGAATCTCCTTAAAATTACCATGCAATTCACCTCTGAAATGTCTTTAAATTCTGCTCAGATTAATCTTGAAGATCTCTGTATTCATCAGAAAAAACGCTTAGAATTCTTTTCTAAATGCCCATGGAATTATTCATGGATTTCTCTTAAAACTCTTCTCAGAATTCCTTTGATATTATACCTTAAAGTTCGATTCCTTTGGGTTTCTTCGCGGAGTTCTCTTGAAGCTCTCTAAATTTCTTCAGTATTCAATACCCTCGAAATTCCTTTAAAATTCTGATCAGAACTCTCTTAAAAATCTTTTCAGAGCTTATTTTATAATATTCAGAAGAAATGGACCTGTAATCCTCTTCACAATCGTCATGGAATTTTCCTCAGAACTACATACCTAAAAGTTCTACTCTTAACTATATTGAGAAGTAAAAAGGCTTCAACTCCATTTTGTAAACAAACCTTGCAAGGCCATTTCCTCGCGAACCGAAACCTACATTCGCAAATCTAAAACATAACCGGGTAGAGGAGAATCTCCCCTACCCGTCCATTTTGTTGTTTTGCGTTGGCGGACTTCGGTTCGTGACAAAACGGCCCTACAAGGCTTGTTTACAAAATGGGGTTGAGGCTTGAACTGTTAAAAGCAAGAAGTCCGAGAGAAATGTGAAATTTTTTTACGTCCTAGAATTACAAAAAATGTAATGTACACCCAGGATCATTGAAAGTCCCAGATCGCGAACATATTTCCAAGTCTGTTATTACGTTAATAGTTTTTTGTTGTAGTTATAATAGTTAATTAGAAAATTTATGTTTTTAAATCAATTTCAAGATTTATTTTAAATTTCAACAAATTTATTAATAATTATCAATAATAAGAAGTCAAAAATCGCGTGTTTCCAAAATCGAACGCTTATACTAACAAAAAATAAGAACTAGACTAGGGCCTTTGTAATGCTCTTTCGGGTGCACCAAACCTCAACCAACGTCATTCAAGTCACTTAGACCATTATTAGGTCATTCATGACTTGTTCGGGGATGAGATTTGAACTGAAGTTTATGAAGGTATTACGTTGTTTTCAGATACAATAATTTGTTTTTTAACGAAAGATGTTTCATACAGTCCAAAGTTATCGAATCCATCAAACAAAGTTTTTAATCGAGTATCAATAGTTGCTCAATTGAATTTTCAAGAATTCAAAAAAAAAATGAGCACACGGAGAAGCTTAAAGAAGTACTGATTATTTAATGCTAGATTGACAAACATGAGACAGACCTATAAGTTGTTGATCAGCTGTACTACCATAGCAAGGAAAGGGTTAAGTCTTAAACCAATGGTATACCCATATGGTTAAAACTGGTTTATGGCTTAAGATGAGGTGAAGAAGTCGGCCCTTATACATTCTCCACAACACGATATTAAAGGGAACAACCGGCATAAATTAAATTAAATTAAGAGGTTGAAAACCTCTTAAATAAAGAAACAAAAAAAAACGAAAAGAAATGTATTTACTAGCTCCTGTGCAACGTTTAGAATGTAGCTTATGTTTCGTAATATAACACTCGTACGTCAAATTTTTACTGGAAATATTATCTTTGGCCTTTGGTATCAAGCTAGTCTCAAAAGCTGTGCATCATTTGGTGAATTGTCATTTAAAATTTGCACTTCGAAAATAAATTTAAAGATTCGGAAATCCTTCTGTTGTTAATCCACCGATTTTAGACTAGGTGTCAAAATGAATTCCTTGTTTTTCAGAAACAAGTAGCAGGATTAGTTAAAACAGATCCATCTGTCAAATTTACGTAAAAATTCATCAAAGCGAACACAGCCAACATTTAGTAAGTCTGTTCACCGTATTGAAAAGTTTTCACATAAAATTAGTGCTAAAAAGTTAAAAGAATATTTTAGTATTTCAAAGGGGTCTACAGTATGTTGGCAATATTTAACACTGTTTACAAAGAAGCAAACATATATCCTTCTTCATTAACAAATTCAAGCCCTTCTTCATTGAAATGATTCAAAAATAGTGCTTTCTGCATTGACAAATATTCAAAGAAAGATGTCCTTCATTATTAAAATATTTTCAGAAGGAAAAATCCACCGTCCATTCATCATCGAATTAAACGCTGTCCAGACTGGAGAGTTATAACATGTTATAACGCTTGTCAAATAATTGCAACACACAAACCACCATCAAGATAGCGCTATAACATGTTATAACTCTGTAGTCTGAACGTACTATTAGCGAGTTGACTGTATTTCTTTCTTTTTTGAAAATTAAAAAAAAATGTACCCTTTCATACAAAATATTAGAAAGGAAAGACAAATCAAGAACGTATCTGCTTTTTGTAAACAAAGATTTAAACGTCATTTTTACAGCAACATGACAAAAGGGCCTAACGTAAAACTTTAATAATGACTTTAAACGTAAATTTCTCACGAATGTCAACACACCCAAGCAAACTAACTGCATAATCTCAAAACGCAGAGTTTGCTCTATCAGATGGTGTGGATAATCCAACAGAAGCTTCAAGGGTTGATCTATAATCTTATTATTGTAGAATAATCATACGAATTTCTTTGAAATTGATTATGATTCAAAAGAAAATTTCAATTTTCCAGGCACATTGGTCAGTCCTATGGGGCAAAAAGAGCATCAGTATAATCGTACACTGAGGCAAATAAATTCCATAAGGCACGACTTATGAACCTATACAGTTTTAATTCCATAAACACGACTTATTAATTATTATCTTGGTTCTTATACGCCTTTAGCCTATCTGTTGATAAACGTGAGCGCATATCACGGACTCAGTAATCCAAAAGCTTTTTCAGATGTTTTGCCGTACGCAGCATGAGAACTTACCAGCGAAGTAGTTACACGCATTTCTACCTAATTAACTGTCAAAAGTTGTGGTTTAGAATCGATGCTGGTCTAGCTTCATGACATCTTACCCCAGGGTTAGGCCCTCCTGACTTGTTGTTACTGAATTTGTCGATACTATTAGCTCGCCCACGCAAACTAACATCAACAGGTAGGGTAAGGTTTCCGCAACATGATGATGGTGTTACTTTGCGTGAGCAGGGTAAAAGTATCGACAAATTGACGTTTGAACCTTTGGTATAAAAGCGGGTATGTACTTATTTTTGAAAATTCACTGTGGTGTTGAGTACTTGGCACTGATGATGTGCAATTATAATGGAATTAAAAGGAAATAGACCAACACACTCAAAGCTCTTCAAGAATGCCCTGTTGAGTCTAGCAGCGGACTGTGACTGTGACCCCCGGGAAACATACAAATTGGTGAACCCTCATTATCAAAGATTATCCGTTATCAAAAACATACCTGCTGTGCTTGCGTTATTCGCAGCAGCTGTTCCTGCTGCGCTGCCGACAGCAAATTTGCATGGTTCGTTAGGTTCCAGTTGTTCGTGAGTGCCTGAAAGTTGCAATGAAAACAAAACGTTACTACCATAAATCTCCAACGAGGCGCAGAGCCTCAAGGAAGGTGAGACTACGTACCTGTACAGCTGCTGAGATGTTTGGCATTTGAGCGTTGTTTTTCTGTATGTTCTGCTGTTGCTGTTGTTGTAGTGCCTGATACATGTTATTTGCCGTTTTCCGTACCTGTGGCTGTTGTTTAGCTATTGTGTTCATCATATTGGTAGGTTGTTTGGGTGGAGGTTGTGCCGGCTGTCTGGTCCAGTGAACAGTATTATTCGACTTCGGACCAGAGAGAAGTTGGGAATCTACTACCTTGCTAGGCCAGTAGTCCTCGAACTCAGTTCCCGGTGGAAAGTAACCTTTTATATCGGTCAAGCTTATAACAGCAACCGAATCGCTGGCAAAGAGTTCGTTCCGGATGCCTTGAACCTTACAACAGAACTTCAGATAGGACAAGTCCCATCCGGATAAATAGTCGGCTTTTAGCTTAAGATTATCAGTCTCTCCCTCAAAGTAGAACAACGGTACCATTTTTTGGTTATCTCTAACAGTGTAAGGAACTACAGATTCTTTATTGATACGGATAAAGCCACATTTGTCGTTTGGTGTACTACATCCCATTAATAGCTTCTTGTAGCACACATCCAGGAACTGGTAGAATTTGTAAGCGTCCGATAGCCGTACCACCAAATCCTTCAATGTAAACATCTCCCTCCCGAATTGGAAGTCACAATGTTTGGTATTGATTTCATTGAATAGCTTACTTTCTGCCTCTGTGATGTAGTACGACCGGACGCAGGTGCAACTGTAGATGTCCTGGTGCAGATAGTTTAGGTATTTATTGAGCAGCTTCATTTCAACCAAACGTACCGCACAGTAACGTTCCGACTGCCGGAAAATATACGGAATGTAAATTTTGCCGGGAAACGTTTCCCAGCCAAAATGACCTTTCTGACTCTCTTCATCGCATGCTTTCTTCTCCCCATTTGCATCTTCAGTCTTTGCTGCACTTCCATTAGTTTGTGCACTGCCAATCGGAGCTATTGTTGTAGCTCCGATGGACTGAGGCACAACCTGGCCCGGTTTTCGGGTCAAATAGTTTAAAATGTTCGTCTGTCCAGCTGTACCATTACCCGTCACTGCGGGCACCTGACCGACTCCGGGTCTAACGATTTGTTGTTGCTGTAACGCAGCTTTCGCTGTCTGTTGTTTATGTACTTCCATCATTTTTGCTGCCAATTCATTAATCTCAGCTTCATCATGCCGTTCCTGTTTCACTGTTGCCACCGGAACGGACATTTTCGTCTACGATTAGATTGCCTTCCTCTTTCTTCACTTTCCCGTCACTTGCTAGACAGAATACTACAAATGAAACTCACTACCCTCACTCAATTGTAATGCTTCAATAATTTGCATATGCATATATCAATCAATTTCACTTCTTCTCGTTTGTTATCCTTTAGAAAGCACACAGCTTCAACTCAATAGAAGCATTTATATTTTTCACTGAATTTTCAATAATAAACACTTGCTTTTTGTTTGGTGCTCCGTTCGTCAAGAAATTTTCACCATTTCAAGAACATTAGGTATGTTTCCTTTATCCTTTATTCCTGTTTCTTCAACTCTTCCCTATCCCTGCGAGCTTGGTAGCTACAATTGTAACGTCACACTTAATAAGCACCTCGAATGTAGTCTCCCTAACGACGGTGTACAACCCTATTTACGTGCACGCGTAATTAAAACCGCTAAGTATAATTACTCCCGCACCTTTCACACTACTACCGTTTTGCCGAAGAAATGCAACTCGTCACGCGCGGGTCACGAATAATCAATCAGGACACAAGATGGTAATAGCGAACCGGAAGGGTAGGAGCACACGACGAATCCCGGGGAGTACACGGTCACAGTGAAATTTTTCTTTCCGTGATAATCCAAAAACGCGTGGAACGTCCAGCACACAGCAGCCTTTAGCTCTGCGCTCGTGCACTCCAATATTTTGTATGAACGACCAACACGAGCACGACTCACCGAAACCCCCAGCGAGCGTTTATACCGAATAGTCTCGCAGTACAAGGGCCCTAAAATATAACGCACACATATAAACGAACTAGTCACTGCTCTGCCGAGGCGCCCTCATTTTTCTCGGGCAGGTTTTTGCTTTCAGTTTTGTCGTTCGTACCCGCCGTGGCATGCTGCTGCTGTTGCCATGCAAGAGAGACTCCTTCTCTCTCTCTCCCGTCTTGTGCTTACTTGCGTACGCTTGTATGTGTGTATGTATTCACACCGAAAGTACATGCACCCGGACCAATCACCGTTGCCCGTTCTGTTGAACAGTGTACGAAAAAAAACGCTACGCAATCATTCAACTACCAATACCACCAGCAGGAGCGACAAAGATCGAGAAAGAGAACCGCCGCCGCCATCGCCATGTCAGCCGAAAAACGATTGAGAGACAGGCTCCTCGACCCGGAGGGGAGACTACACTTTGATTAAGCCACATATCTCATAAATTATTCATACAATCTTTTCCTTTTTCTTATACGGTTTTTTTGTCGTTGTTGCTCGAACGCTGTGGGATTTCTGGTTTCAGTGGTTCACGCTTGAATTGAGTTTGAATTTTTCGAAGCCTCACACAGCTCATGCCGAGCAGGTTCCTTTTGTTGCGTTCGGCAGCCTCATTTTATAGTATGGCAAATTTAATGTTAATGCCTGGTATCGTAAAAATTAAGTCCATATGAACTATGATGTTGTAAGTACAGAAACCAGTCCTTGAAGTGTTGTTTCTCAATTCTGTTTTTAACAGATTTATATTTTCTTGATTTCCTCCAATTTTTTTGAAATGGATTAATGTAAGTAGTCAATTTTAATCGCCTCACTACTCAGCATGACGCCACCTTCATATGGACAAACAGATATACAAAAAAAATCATAGGGACATTTGAACATTTTTCAAAAACAGCGGTTTTAGAAGCGAAAACTGAAAAAAATCGATGGTAAAAAAAAAGTTACCGTTTAAATATTCCATATATTTTTTTCGAAATAGGTTCTATTTATTAATTTTTTTAAATCGACATTTCTGGTTTTCTTCATACAAGTCCTTAAGACAGGTTGATAGAATGCACAAATGGCCGATGTCATTCACAATTTCCTCCCAAAGTTTCTTAGAGGACTGTTTAAGTATTAACAACAATTTGCACACGACCATGGTGGCATAAGGGATTCATAAATACGCAAGGGGAGGGAGGAGGGTTTCTGAAACCTCTCAAAAACTGAGAGCTTATCAAACATTCTAATTTTATCTGAGATTGGACACAATGGACAATTTATAATTGACAAAAAACGTAAACTTTCAACTTTTAGAAAAAAATGTGTACCATTTAAAAAAAACGTTTTTTTCAACTGGAACAGTTATTTGGACTACGCAAAAAGTTTTCAGCAAAAAAAAATTATAAATTATGTGCGAAAACGAAGTTCAACTTGTTTCCTAAAAGTTTATTTTCTACGATTTTTGTCAATTTTAAAGTTTCCATTATGTCCAATATCGGAAAAGAATGCATTTTCGACAAGCTTTCAAATAAACATAAGGTTAAAATATTTAAAAATGCACTGTTTTGATGTTTAAGCTGTACTTGGAACCAATAGGCTAGTTAAGTGGTGAGCCAATTTTAAATCGTTAGTTTCCACCGGTTGGATAAACGCTTTGCTCATTTCATTTATACAGCCTTAAGTTGTATTGTAATGATGCACGAATATGAGAACAGCCTTTATGGGGTGTTTACACTTATGCTTTTTCACTAGCGCTAATGAGCCAGCTGCTTGCAAAAAAGCTCACCAGCATAATGTAAACAGGGCATCAGCGTCTAACAGCATGAGATTTCAGAAGCAACTGAAATTCGTGCTAGTTTGCTAATACACTAGCGCTAGCAAATCCGCACAGATGCAAACACCCCATTACTCAACCTCTATACAAGCAAATCTTCGTCAGCTACTTATGGCTATTGGGACGGTTGAGACAAGCTCTTAATGCTTAGTTGATTGTGAACTTAAAAGGTAAATGCCTTTCAACATTTTCCCGTTTGACAGAACCCCTCATTTTATCTGTCAAACTTTTATAGCGAATCAAAACAAACATAGTGTAGTACTAGAATTTCGACTAGAATGGAGTAAGTTAATCGATGTTAGTTAGTTTCAACCGGTTGATAATAGTTCGTATGTATCACTTTTCTCGACTTTGACTCTTAATTCAGCTTTGTAAATCTGGAGTAAAAGCTGTAAAACCAACAATCAATACGAAACTAACGATTTTAAATTGGCTCACCACTTTAGTAGCCTATTGGTCCCAAGCAAACGATTAACGTACCCTATTCTAGTTGAAATTCTATTACTACACTATGTTTGTTTTGATTCGCTATGAAAGTTTGACAGATAACATCAGGGGTGTGTGGATTCATGCAGAACATGCAGGGGTGAGTGAAATAGCTTGGGACTGCTTGGGACCGTTGTTCTGGTACTGAGTGACCCAAAAATAATAATGATTTTCTTCGGGCCCCAGTGGTCTTAGAGTTACCTCTATGGTAAAACTGCACTCATCTAAAAATAAACCTAGTTAAAATTATAACACAGTCTATTAGCTGAGTACAGGTTGAAAAGGCACTATTGATTTTTATGTTATTTATTATTGTTAGTTGTGTGTATGCCATAAAATGAGTAACATATTAACTTTATTAGCTTTGTTTTGCAGCTACAAATTGAAAGTTGATTAACAGCTGCATGGAAGTGACATTAGCGTTTATTGGCTGCTGTTATTCAGTGCGACTGACAAATTGAATAATGGTTGTAAAAATGATGAGCTCACTAAAACTATTTCGCTAGCTTCTGCTTGTAACTGTACATGCAGCTTTTTTCAGCTACTTTACAGCAGAACGCTGGAAAAACTGACTTATAAAGCTGAAAACGTATTACTTTTTTAAAAACACAGTTGTTGTCTTTTCCATGTGGACTCGATCGATTTAATTTTAAAGCAAACTGATTGAAAATTTTCTCTAGTAGAACATTGTTTTGCTCTTTTTCTGTTGAATCCCGCAAAAAAGTCTGAGCCAGGAGTGCTTGAGCCCCATGACTCTCATAAAGTTTGTTTACATTCTTGTTACCTAAGAAGAGTAACTGCACTACACATTGAGTAAGTCCGCAGTTCCCAGTGTATAGGAATTGCCGAAAACGTCATTGACCCTAGACTATGTGAATAAGGTATGGTATTATCCCATACATACATAGATACTAACTATGGCAATACTCCATATCAATCAATATGTCATAATTGGTACATTTTTAAAATATTCAAAATAGTCCACACTTGATATTTCAAATGCACAATCACATTTATTTTAAAAGTATTTCACTATAGTTCAATGTGTTATACACGTTGATTTCTAGTGTTTCAAACTTCGAATTTTTTTATTGAAGTGTTTTGCATTTCAATGCGATGTGAATTGCATTTTCAGCAAGGTAAACATCGAAAACATGAGTTGTGACTTCATTTTTATCAACCAGCCTCATAAAAGAGAAAAAAAACCGTAGTCCAGTTAAATCGAACGAAGCTGCAAACCCCAACAGTCCCGGATCGAATCCCAAATCAGACCCATTTTAAAAGGCTTGTGTAAGCTCTGCCATCTGGCAGTTTTCTACTATTCTACTATTCTGTTAGAAGAAAATTGCATTTTTATGTTCTCTATTTCAGGACTTTATTTATTTATTTATTTTCATCAACCGATGTAGACTAGTACAAATACAAATACAAATTTGTTTTTCTTAAGAATATTAAAAAAAAAATACTTCTTACGAGTTATGATTCCGTATGGAGTTAAAATATTGTTTTAGTTTATGCCGAGACATTGGAAAGTCAATGGTTTCGCAATATTGATTATAAGACACCAGCATGCGATTTAATGGCCCAAATTTTGCATAATTTGTACGATGATAGGTTATGGCAAATAAATTTCGATTTCTGAGTTGTTGAGTAGTTGAATAAAAATTTAATTTTGATAAAAGTTTTGCTTAGTATATGCGCTGCGAAACGATATCGTTTACAACCGAAACCATTGCATATTCACGTCGCTCTTTTAATGTTTGTATGTTTATAAGCATGCAGCGTGCTTCATATGATGGAAGAGAAAATGATGTTCAACCTAATTTACCAAGGGCATATAATAGAAATTGCTTTTGTACTGATGCTAATCTTTCTTTGTGAGTGATTGAAAATGGAGACTGCTGCAATATTCCAGTATTGACCTCACATAGGCAATATATAGTGTTTTAATTGTGTATGGGTCCTGAAAGTTAAAGCAAAAGTGTTTGATAAAGCCTAGCATGTTATTTGCCCTGTGCATTATTGTATTGTAATGGTCTATGAAAGTTAGTGTGGAGTCTTAGATAATCCCTAAATCCCTAACTCTTTCACATTTTTCTATATACTGATTTCCTAATTCAATTGAAATGTTTGATGTTGTTTGTTTTCTGCTAAATGATTTTAAGTTGCATTTTTTTACATTCAATTCTAATCGGTTTTTTTTTTATACAATGTGTAGAATATGTGAATTTCACTCTAGAATATATTGATGTCTTCATCATTTCTTATTTGCAAAAAGAGCTTCATGTCGTCGGCATAGATTAGCAATTTTATTTTTTTGAGAATGAAGAGAATGTCGTTTACATACATAGAAGAGGTACCAAATGAGAACCTTAAAGGACTCCTGAGCTAAGATGCTTTATACCCTAACAAATTTTGATATTCTTTTAGGAGCAGTAACCATTCCGTAATTATTTCATTTTAAGCGGCGCCGGTGGTGTGGTGGTAAGCGTGATTACCCCTCACTCCAGCAGCCTGGGTTCATAACACCTCTGATCACACCTTCCTCGGTTCATGAGTTGATGGGTCGATAGGTAGGGTCCAGGTGTGGGAGCTGCCGCCCTGGTGTCGGTAGCATTGGTGCTCAGCACGGAAAACAAGATCGACTGAAAACAAATCAAGAAACAAAAAAATATGTTT